CAACCCTAAACCCCAAACCCTAAACCCCAAACCCCAAACTCCCAAACCCCAAACCCCCAAACCCTCAACCCTAAACCCCAAACCCTAAACCCTAAACCCCAAAACCCCAAACCCCCAAACCCTCAACCCTAAACCCTAAACCCTAAACCCTCACCCCTAAGTTGACCGGGACTCCCCAAGGCTCGGCCTTCAACGTCCAGCTTCAGCAGCTCCACTGTATGGACGTCGCTGAGGTAGGAGCCGATGATCTCATCCAACGTCGTCAAACCGACCTCCTCCTTAGCAGGATTGCAGGGTAGGGTTTAGGGTTTAGGATTTAGGATTTAGGGTTTAGGGTTTAGGGTTTAAGGTTTTGGGTTTAGGGTTTAGGGTTTAATTGAGTAGAGTGGTCGATGGCTAAGGTTGGGAACTCAGGCCTAGTATTGCGGCGTTGGGGCTCTGCTGTCAAAGACTCAGTGATGAGACTAGGGTTTGGGAATATATTTACAGTGTGGTGGTTTAGGGAGACTTGTTGACTTATCATTCAGAACTCCCATATTTGTACAAGGGCCTTAATAATTCGAACAGCATTACAGCATCTTGGTGTATATTATACTATAACTATAGCTATAAGCAGGAACAATGTCAGTAACTATCGCTAATTATTACCGAAACAGAACCTAAACGACCTAAACCCCAAACCGTTAACCCCAAACCCTAAACCCCCTCAACCCTAGGCCCGAAACCCTAAACCCTAAACCCTAAAACCCAAAACCCCAAACCCTAAACCCTAAACCCTAAACCCTAAACCCCTATGGGCCCCCTGAGCCCCTTTTTTCATTACATCCGCCGAGTCTCATCCTCCATGTTGGGCGGGCCCTTCAGGTAGCCCTGGTCCGCTATACTGCTGTAGTCGTACCGGACCGTCATGTTCAGGGAGCGAACCTCTCAAGGAAGCCCAGAGACCCCAAAGTAAGCACTGGAACGCGAGACTTCACCTCTGCCTCTGACTGGAAGGGAACTCCAAATTTACAGGAAGAAGGTGACTGCATTCCAAGCAACTCGCTCCCCCAAGCCGGCCGTGAAGATGTAGCTGTGGCCGATCCTGCAACCGAATTCTAAAACAGCAGAATGCAGCTGATAGGCTGATACCTGTCGAACAAGCGACGTAGAAGACCATCATCCTTGAATGCCTGTGCCTTGCGAAACGAGCTACGCTTCAAAATAAAAGCAAAGAGAACAGCACGACCAGGAAGAGCAAGCGGAGTAGGAGTGGGCAAGAACTACTACCACTACCGCTACTGCTACCACCTACTGCTGCCGCTGCTACTGCTACCTGCTGCTACTGCTACTACCACCACCACCAGCACCACCACCACCTCCACTAGTCGTCCAGTTATACCAAGTGCGCCATGGCCTTTGTCGGCTACCGACTGGAGCGATCTGCAACCACGGCGTCCGCGGCACCTCATTCTGCCACACAACATGACTTTGTCGGTTGTCTGAGCTAGTGGTTCAGGAATCGGGAGGCTATAGACTTCAGGTGTTCGGAGCCACGGGTTTTAGGTCTTGGGTGTCTTCGACCCTAAACCCTTACATTCTTGAACCCTAAACCCTTAGACCCTTAGGCGCATAAGCCCTTAAACCCCGAAGCTGAGGTTTACGAGGGTCCAGGCATCGTCAACCGAGCCCACGACCGGCTCCCCCGGTGCCACGGTCAGGAAGCTGAAGGCAGCATGGAGGTCCTTCCTTGGGTCGACGGTTTAGGGGTTTAGTTTAGGGTTTAGGGTTTAGGCCGGGTTTGGGGGTTTAGGGTTTAGGGTGTGTATACAATGCGCGCGCGGCGGATGCGCCGTTTACTTTAGGAACAGGGAGGGGCGCACCCACTTGTCGCGCGCTTGCGTCAGCATGTAGCCCCCCCAACCACTGACTGTTCTCAATTAGGGTTTAGGGCCCCCCAAGGGGGCTTTCTTGCCGTCGGCCTCCCCTCGCAGTTCGACACATAAACGACCACATTCTACAGCAAAACACAGCTGAGATGGATTTGTGTCGGGTTGTAGGTCCTCACTGTGCCGGCCGCTCGACGAGAAGCAAGGGTTTCCAACAAACAACCTCGCTCCCCGTCAGGGTTGCTCGACATGTAAGCACCTGTCCTGGCATAAACAACCAGGCCGGGGGCAATTTTTTCAGGAAAGTGGTCCAAAAGTGTGTCCCTGGAATTTGCCAACCTGGCAACCCAGACACCCTTTCGGGGGTTCCCCCAGATCCGCCCGGCCAGACCGCGCACACCGGGAGGCCTTTACCCTCCGTCACCGCTCTGACGAGACGCTGGGCCGGGACCCTCGGTCAGGGCGTCCAGCGCCCATGCAAACGGTCAGCGGCGCTCTCGGCAGTCTGGGGTCTGGGGTCTGGGGCTGTGGGTTTGGGGTTTAGGTTCAGGGTTTTAAAGTTTAGGGCCCACACGATGAGCTACGTGCCCGGATAGCGCTTTCGAAGCTACAACACCCCGTACGACCACGCGGGGAAATTCCTGACCCGAAGTTCTAAACCGTAAAGCTCTGAAAGCCCCGAAGCACATCCCAAACCCTAAACCCAAGCCACCACAACCCAGACGCTTAAGCCCCCGAAGGCGCCAGGGTCCAGGGCTTCGGGTTGAGGGCTCTAGGGGTTTAGGGTTTGGGGTGTATGCTATGGGTCATGGACTGTGGCTTCAGGGTAGCCCTAAACCCTAAACCCTAAACTCTAAACCCTAAACCCCAAACCCTAACCCCCAAACCTAAAAAGTGAGCAAACACCTGAAAAATCACCGGGCTTCTCGTAGCCCTCCTGTTGCAGGGCGGCCGGCAGCCGCTCCGCCACCAACTTCCGGTTCTCCCGCAAAGGCTCGAAACCTCAGTCCCAACACCAAAAGGGGCGTTTAGAAAACGGTCCCTAAACCCTAAACCCTA